TCTATTATAAATCATTCCACAAATAGTAATCTGTAATAGTCCTAGTTTATCATAGTTTCTTCTATATATTGTTTGTAATGCTTTAGCAATACTGTAAATTTATGGTCATGCTAATAAAGCTATTAATTACCTTACCTTACCCTTGCCTTTCAAACGGGTCCTTGCTCGGACCTCTACTCAAGGTCTTAAAATAATTGAGGAGAAAGTGCTACCTTTACATTGACATCAGTAAATCGTTAGACTTTCGCGTCTTCTCGGTTAAGGACATTAAGTTAAATCGTAGGTACCTCGGGTCCCCTATCAATTGCGCAATAGCCCTGTTGGGAAATCCGCTGACCAATGAGTGTGATACTCAAGAAAATAATAAACATATGTAATACAAAGACATGGTTTATGTCTTATGGTACCCAATCTTCAATCATCATTTTATCATATTCCTACCTTTCTTAGAAGTTCTGTCATGACAGACTCGGTCTGTTTCCTACTGACGTTCATCATTTTGGTTGCGTCTTCTTTGGTTAAACTTTGCTTGTCAACTTTTTCGCCACTTGCTTCGCCTGAAGGAGCGAATGCGAGTGTTCAATTTTAACCCACGGCGCTTTTCTCGTTCAACAAGTTGCTACAAGGTTGTCACTCACAACTTGTTGAATTGCAAGACGATAACAAGTTGTTAGAACAACTTGTAACAAGTCTTTTGAGCTCAACAACCTTGCAGCAAGTTGCCGACAAGCCGTGTACAAGTTGTCAACAAGCTGGGAACAAGCAGTGCGAACACATCCTGTTGACAAGTTGTTGGAACAGCATTGATATAAGTCTGCTGCAGGTTTGTTACAACTTGTGCGTTTGTGAGGTGTGTAGACGATCTATTTGGCTATAAGCGAAGTGTACTGACCGTTTTCTTGATATGTCCTCTGCAATCCTCTTTCTGCGCGCCTTATCTCCCGTTGTTTATCATCTGTTACCCCTGAAAGTCCCTCAGTTTGTGGTGGGGGTGATAGTGGATCGAATGTGAACTCGTGTTGTGCCATCTCATCACACAGTTTATCCCAAAGCGTCGTGCTTGCTTCGGTATTCACTGCCGTACTTCGCCGGACGGGGCTCGTAGTCCTCGTGGAACGGTCGACACGAGTCGGCTCGTGGCACTTCGTGCTGAGCGCGTGATCCATCGACATGGAAAGTTCGTGAAGCAGTTCGCTAGCTCTTCGGGCAGCGATCGTGGTTCTCCGACTCTTGCTCCCGCCAGCTGTGGTATCTTGGTTATTTTGAATCAATTCTTCAAAAAACTTTCCCAACGACTGGACGATACCCCTACATTTCCTCACAGTATCACCTGGTAGAAAAAGAAATAGGAAGTTTTTTATGAAATATTTATGCATGGCATTCGCCAGACATTCCTTGCATCTCTAATAATAATAAAAACTTTATTTTGAGAGGGTATTTATACATTTATTACAGCAGGAAGGACGACAGTGTTCTACGTAATGGTCCTCTAATCAATGGGCGATTCAGCTATAGACTAAATTTTGATCAAGGCAAGAAGAACCAAATCCAACACCACAGCTAGAAAGAGCGTCTTATAATGAGTAAAACTGCAAAGATTGGTTGCTAAATGTTGTAAAATGAAGAAAATATAGTCCTGTGAAGTTCGCAAATTTTGTATATATTTGTATTACGCACGGTAAAAATAACCACTTTCGGTTCTAAAATGGTTAATGTTCCCGCGGATAATGCAAATATTTATGCGAACTTCACAGGGCTATATTTTCCTCATTTTACAACAATTCGCAACCAAACTTTGCAATTCTGCTCTTTTGAAGATGCTCTTTCCAGCTATGGTAATGGTTTTCGTTCTTCTTGTTGAGATCAAAATTTCGTCAAAAGCTGGAATCACCGATTAAGAATGGACCTTTCACCTTTTGACTAAAATTTAGATTTCAAAAAGTCTAGACAAAAATTTTATCACAGCTTGAAAGAGCATCACAAAATTAGTAATATTCCGAAGTTTCGTTGCGAAATGTTGTAAAATGCGGATAATATAGCCTTGCGAAGTTTGCAATTTTCAGTCATTTTGTATTACAAACGGGAAATACATACCCTTTTTTCGAAGGAGGTATGTATTTCCCGCGCGTAATACAAAATGACTGAAAATGGCAAACTTCGCAAGGCTATATTATCCGCATTTTACAACATTTCGCAATGAAACTTTGGAATATTACTAATTTTGTGATGCTCTTTCAAGCTGTGATAAAATTTTTGTCTAGACTTGTTGAGATCTAAATTTTAGTCAAAAGGTGAAAGGTCCATTGCTTGATGCTGCATCGTCCTAAACAGCTTACGATGGATAAGCGATGCAGCCACAATCAACTATATGCTTACAATTACCACAACTAAATCTATTGACGTGCTCAACTTTATCGTTGAAGTCAACCAAGAATTTTTTAAATTTATTTTTAAAGGAAGTTAAGGAAATATTTGTAATATCTTTCAATTCGACCGGCAATGGATAGACCTTTCCCCTTTTGAGTGAAATTTTGATCTTGATATGCCTGGACAAAAATTTCATCACAGCTTGAAAATGCATCACAAAATTAGTATTCCGAAGTTTCGTTGTGAAATGTTGTAAAATGTGGTAATATAGCCTTGCGAAGTTTGCCGTTTATCAGTCATTTTGCATTACAAACGGGAAATTGATAATCAGATGCATGGGCGTACCGGAAGGAAAAAATTAGGGGGGCGGAAAGAAAATTGCCCGACTTTTCAAAAATTGCCCGACTAGTACCAAAAAATTTTTTCCGGAAAAATTATTTTGGCGACCTTCCTCCCCCCCCCCCCGTCGCCAAAAAAATTTCGGTCTGTGTACCATTTTAGGGATCAAAAAAATTTTCCGGACAACCTATATTTTTCGGAACATGACACAAATTTTCGAAAAATCACACAATTTGCGAAAAAATTGACTTAATTTTAGATAAAATTGACTGAATTTGTCCCATTATTTTTTTTTCAAACCAAAATTGCCCGACTGTTGATCGAATATTGCCCGACTGCCCAAAAAACTGGGGGGGCTACCGCCCCCCCCCGCCCGGTACGCCTATGATCAGATGATCAAACTGATTATCAACTTCGCAAGGCTATATTATCCGCATTTTACAACATTTCGCAACGAAACTTTGGAATATAACTAATTTTGTGATGCTCTTTCAAGCTGTGATGAAATTTTTGTCCAGACTTGTCTAGATCAAATTTCACTCAAAAGGGGAAAGATCTATTGAGGAGCCGAGCTCCACTAAAAGATAATTCGGCCTTTGCCGTTGAATCGTGATTCTCCAGAGTACCTTGATGCGATCCCTGGATCATTGTCGATGTAAGCTGGCTCCCAGCCCCCAAATCAGTTTGGCTGCCTCGCTCATGAGTGGGTTGTTTCTCCGATCGGGGTTTTTGCAACATGTCTTCGAGTTCTGCAATCTTATTGGTCAAAATGTTGACGCTTTTTTCCAACTGACGTCGATCTCCCAGGAGCTTGGTTTCCCGTTGTTGTAGCATTGTGATTTGGTTTTCGCTGTATTCCTGTTTGAAAAATGAAAACTCTTCAGAAACGACCCCCTTAAAGGCGTCTGATCCCTGCATGATATAACCATGCATGCTGTTAAGGGGCCAGTCATTTATGGCGAGGGCTAGCACCGAAGAGAAAAGGGTTGGGTAAACAAAATTTTGAGCGAGTAAAAGGTTGGGTAAATGAAAAACAAAACAACTCAAGGGCTGGGTAATAAAAATTTATTGTCATTTCCAAAGCATGACTCACTCAAATATTGAACACTAAAAAGCAATGTCAATATGTCAATAATCATATGTCAATACAATATGTAAATCAATCAGAGTCACTATCTTCACGCGATTCGACAACGCGACGCGATTTTTCGATATTTACTGACCGATAACTTTGATCCTAGTTTGAATTTTCCAAATATTTAGAAGCGCTATAACATGCATTTCGAGTTATTTGGTCTACATATCTTTCAAAATTTGCTCTCATTGGCTGATTTATTAACTTTCAAAAACTAAAAAATCGCGTCGCGTTGTCGAATCGCGTCCGATGTGTCTGGACCTTTAAACTCATTATACTTTTGTAACGTTTTTAGCCACGCCAGAGGTGGATATTTATTTTTAATTGCATCATATTTGAGGTTGGGTAAAAACATTTTTACCAGGAAAAACATTTCCCTTCGGTGTCAACCCCCCCCCCCCCCGCCATAGCTCCCCTCCTAGCTTTTCCCACCCTCGCCCTCCCCCCTAAATAGCGCCTGCTACGCAGGCTACCCCCGCCATAAAAAATGACCTTTCCCTTATGTTTATTCTGGCATGTTTTGAACACCTCGGGAACCTACAACTACATACCTGTTCGCTTTGCAATCTTTCTCTTCCCCTAGGGCTCAAACTCCGACTTCTCGAACTTCGTGACTTCTCAGAAAGTCTTTTGCTTTTATTCTGCCTGTCCAGGTTCCCATATCGTTCTCGATATCGATTTAATTCCGAATCAACCTTCCCCAAACGACCTTCAAGACGCGTCGCAGCTTTGGCTCGATCTTCGAGTGCTCGTTTTGCTTGGAACAGTTGGTCTTCCATACCTTTTAAACCTACGACAAGAAGTTAATAGGTCGAAGACGTGATCGAATGGTCGAGAAAAAATTATCATTGGGGAGATATGCAAAAAAACAATCAATGTTTAAGAAAGGCACGAAATGAACTGAAACTCAATTCTCACATACACATAAATTTTTCGAACCACTGAGTATTTTAACAAAATACAAAACAAGTGAAACTCCAAAGATCAATAATATTTTTATTTATCTACGTTTCAACTATATTTCAGTCCTCATCATCATCACTGAAATATAGTCCAAACGTAGATAAATAAAAATGTTATCGATCTTTGGAGTTTCACTTGTTTTGTATTTTACATACACATAAAACTACGTACAAGTTGTTACAGGTTTGCAAACAAGTCTGTTCACAAGCTGTTGACAAGCTGTGTTTTGTCCCTAGATGCTGTAACAAGTTTGGAACAAGCTGTTAACAAGTTGTAACAAGCTTGATGGCATTATCAGACTTTTATATCATGACTGTATCAGACTTGTTGGAACAACCTTGCCACAAGTCTGATAATATTAACAACCTTGTTACAAGCTGTTGACAACTTGTATACAATATTGTTATATCATGACTGTATCGGACTTGTTGGAACAACCTTGCTACAAGTCTGATAATATCAGCAAGCTTGTTACAAGCTGTTGACAACTTGTATACAATATTGTTATATCATGACTGTATCGGACTTGTTGGAACAACCTTGCTACAAGTCTGATAATATCAGCAAGCTTGTTACAAGCTGTTAACAACTTGTATACAATATTGTTATATCATGACTGTGTCAGACTTGTTGGAACAACCTTGCATGCTACAAGTCTGATAATATCAACAAGCTTGTTACAAGCTGTTTAAACAACTTGTACAATATTGTTATATCATGACTGTAACGGACTTGTTGGAACAACCTTGCTACAAGTCTGATGATATCAACAAGCTTGTTACGACTGTTAACAAGTTGTTCCATACTTGTTGACAAGTTGGGACAAGTATTGCAGACACAACTTGTTGACGGCCTGTCGGCAGACTTGCTACAACATTCGAGATTTTTTTCTCGGTACCTGTGACTAGTTTTTCGGTTTTGTCTTGTTTCTCGTTAACCAAGTGTCGTAGTCTATCTCGTTCGAGTTTGAGTTGTTCCTTTTCATGATGTAGTTCACAGTTTTCTTTCTTTAAAATCTTGTTGATGATATTCTCTTGTGCTTTCGGTTCCTCAGTCTTCAGTTTCTCTATTTCGACATCTTTCTTCAGCAATCTTTCACGCAGCTCGTAGTTTTCTTCTGACAGCAATTTAACTTTTCTTTCCAAGTCTATCAAAATTAACAATATTTAGCTAGCCCACCTTCGGAAACATGGCAAGGAAACAATGCTTTTTTGTTTGCCCATCTTCGAGAAACATGGCAACAATGATTCCTTGTTTGTCCACCTTTGGGAAACATGGCTAGGAAACAATGTTTCCTGGTTTGTCCACCTTTTGGAAACATGGGGCGCTTTCCATTAACACCGCCAGACTGGTCAGAACGGTCAAATTGTTGAATGGAACACAAAACATTTGGGCTTCAGATCTTTCCATTGATACAGGGCCATGGGAAACATGGCTAGGAGACAGTGTCTCCTGGTTTGTCCAACATGGCTAGGAATAAAGGAATACCGAATGGTTTTCCGTGCAGGATTGCGTGATCCATGCACGAGGGATGTCGCGAGACTTTCGGAAAGCGTAAAAATACTCGAGCCGCAGGCGAGTGTATTTCTACGCTTTCCGAAGGTCGAGCAACATCCCAAGTGTATGGATCACGCTATCCTGCTTGGAAAACTATTTGGTAATTATTTTATAAAATAACTACAGTGAAACAATGACATTTTGAGAATCCCGCGAAAACCCTGCGAAGGCATTTTAATTCCTCATGCAGGATAGTCTGATCCGACACGGCTATTGACCAATCAAATTGCGTGTTTCACTGTAGTTATTATATAAACAATGATCGTACTTACTTTTCATTATATTTTCTCCGTACAAATATCAATTTCAGTTCGGAATCAATTTGAAATCCTATAGTTCGAAAATGCAATATACGCGCACGCACGCATGATTCCATCGATCTTTAATATTATGACGTCATAATGAATCTGCAGGCCCCTCCTCAAAGTGACTGCCAACAAGCTTATGTTCGCACTGCTTGATCCGACGTTGTCAACAAGTTTGGGACAAGTTGTTAACAACTTGTGACAACCTTGTTGATATTATCTGGTTACAAGGTTGTTCCAACAAGTCCGATATAGTCATGATATAACAATATTGTTACAACCTTGTGTCATCAACCTTGTGACATTCTTGTTATATCATGACTGTATCAGACTTGTTTTAATAGAACAACCTTGTAAAAGTGTGATAATGCGATCAGGCTTGTTACAAGTTGTTAGCAGCTTGTAATAAGCTTGTTGGTATTATCAGACTTGTTGCAAGGTTCCAACAAGTCCGATATAGTCATGATATAACAATATTGTTACAACCTTGTGTCATCAACCTTGTAACATTCTTGTTGTATCATGACTGCATCAGACTTGTTAGAACAACCGTGTAACAATTAGTCTGATAATGCCATCAAGTCTGTTACAAGTTGTTAACAGCTTGTTCCAAACTTGACACAACAACTGGGAACAAGCAGTGCGAACACAACTTGTCGACAGCTTGTGAACAGATTTGTAACAACTTGTTTGCAGACTTGTAACAACTTGTGCGTTTTTACGTGTGTAGTAGATTCTCCCAACTACACGCGTAAAAACGCACAGCTTGTAACAAGTCTGCAAACAAGTTGTTACAAGTCTGTTCACAAGCTGTCAACAAGTTGTGTTCGCACTGCTTGTTCCAAGTTTGTTGTAACAAGTTTGGAACAAGCTGTTAACAACTTGTAACAAGCTTGATGGCATTATCAGCCTTGTTACAAGACTGTGCTAACAAGTTTGTTACATCAATGATATAACAAGGATGTTACCAGGTTGTCAACACAATGTTGTAACAATCTTGTTACATCAAGCATGTAACGGACTTGTCAGAACAACCTTGCAACAAGTCTGATAATTTCGACAAAGTTTTTACAAGTTGTCAACAAGTTGTTCCAAACCTGTTGAAAACTTGTAACAAGCAGTGCGATATATCTTGTTGACGGCTTGTTGGCAGACTTGTTACAAGATGTGAGATTTTTACGTGTGTACCCCCCTCCGTTCCCCTTCGTGCTTCGGAATTTCACGACAGTTTACGACGACATTCAAAACATCATGGCAGTATTGGCAGAGAAGCCAGAAACAGACCGAGGGAGATTTAAAGTTTTATAAACCAAACTCGCTTAGCAGAATGACCCCCGCCGAATAATTATTAATGGTAAGTAAACAATAGTTTATCATCGTTAGTATTAGTTTACCCGTAGTGAATATAGTTAGCTAAACATTGAAACGATTTTGGACGTAGTTTTGGATTGATTTATAATTGTCCACTTCAATTCAAAACACGTCCATCAAATGCGGCCGGCGTTTTAGTTGTCACATATAAGGATCGAAGCAACATCCGTTGGACAAGTAAGACTGTTGTTCTAGAGCAGAAATTATCTGAAGAATAAAGTGATTTCATCATATATTCTATCCTTAATTTGTATCTTATTTATATTTATTCTTGTTCGTCTTTTAAATTAAACGGTTGTTATGTGTCATATGCTTCTACTTCAAATTGACTTTAGAGTTTTTACATACGAATGCAATTGTAGTCTGTACTTTTTAGGAAATTACAAGGAACTAGTTGTGAATTCTAGTGTTAAATATTCCTGTTCAGTGCAAGCTTCATGAATCAAACTATTTGCCATATTCAAATTTAAATGCATGTAGAATTTGTTGTGCGTTCTTTTTTGTAAGCTTCGCCTAGCCTCGAGGGAATAATTAGCAACTTTTTAGAAACTAGTAATAAAGAATAATTTAAATTTTTCACATATTTGGTACCGGTATTTGCACAAAACAAGGCTCAGTTCTTATGAAGAGATCATTAAAGCCTTTTTACCAGATATTTTGGGAATGTGTAGTATTTAAAACCGACTTTATTATCGATACATTTCCATTCCAAAAATAACTGACCTTCGATTTCAGAATTTGTTGCATCTTCTTGGGATTTTGCGTTGACATTGATTTCGTTGTCTGTTGAACTTCCCTGGCTTTCGTAAACTACTTTTAAATCATTCAACTGTTTTTGAAGCGATTCGATGTGCTTCGTCTTTTCGAATAATTCATTTTCAAGAATCCTACGATTTTTTAAAACAACGTCAGACGACTGCCCGTCCTCCTGTTCTGTCGAAATGAATGGCGCTGTCTTGCTTTTTTTATGACCAATTTTAAAGCTATTTTGGCCGATTTTAGAGCTGTTTTCACCGGTTTTTGAGCTATTTTCCTCTTGTGCATTCGTACTTGAATTATTTCGCTTTGTTGCAGAATTATCCATATTTTTCTTCGACTGTTTTCCAGCTGATTTTACGGGGATTTTTGTTGTAGTTTTTTGCAACATTTGAGCCGGCGACTTTTCAAATTTTTGCTTTGTCGATTCGTTCTCATTTTGTGCTCCTAGATTCTCGAATTTTGTTTTATTTGATGGCGATTTCTTTGACTTCTCTTGGGTAGCTGTATTTTCCAACTCTTCTGCAGAAAGGATATCAGATTTTTCCATTTGACTTGAACTATTTTGTTGAGCCATTCAAAAACTGAACGCGAATCGGTTCGTACCTCAATTTCAACTTTGTCGCTTTAGATTTTATGAATACACCCCATATTTTAGCAAAATTACTTTGTAGCAGTATAGAAATAGTAAAAACACAATCCTTTTTATCAAAATAGTTGATAAAATGTTTCTGAACAAACCGTTTCGAAATATTCGTCATTTGTTTTGATTTAATTGTTGTCGAATCAGCACGCCATTTTGCAACAATTGTTTTCGCGCGAATATTCAATTTCGCGGCAATATGGCTTGAATGTGTAACAAATTAAAAGGAAAATTGATATTTTGTGAGGTAGTTTAATTGACTTTTTGTTGGATTTAATAGTGAATGTTTTAGTTTTCCATATATATTAGGTCAAAACTGATTGACATTTAAATCGCAGAATGCATTTTACCTTCATATGGAGTTATGCCGGTTTTCCATGCGAATTTTGAACAAAATTTTGATCTAGACAAATCCAGACAAAAATTTCATCACAGCTTGAAAGAGCATCACAAAATTAGTAATATTCCGAAGTTTCGTTGCGAAATGTTGTAAAATGCGGATAATATAGCCAGTGGCGTAACTACTATGGGCTCAGACCGTGAGAACCCGGGGGCCCCAACCTAAATGGGGGCCCCCAGGCTTAGGCAATAGAGCAAAAACATTGGTCAGGGCCTCTGATATGTTACAATGTAGTTTTATGACCATCAGAATTCTGTAAAATCTCTCCCCAAAGTCCAGGAAATGGCATTTCAGAGAGTCTAAATTCAAAAATTTTCCGGATAAGCATGCCCTGGACCCCCTAGAAATTTCGTGCATATACGGCGCTCGACTCGTGCCTTTGGCACTTCTACTAGGGGGGCTTTCGAAAATTTTGAACCGGGGGCCCCCTGATATAACGTTACGCCACTGAATATAGCCTTGCGAAGTTTGCCGTTTTTTAGTCATTTTGTAAACGCGCGGGAAATTGATACCTTTTTTCAGAAAGCGGTATCAATTTCCCCTGCGTAATACAAAATGACTGAAAAACAGCAAACTTCGCAAGGCTATATTATCCGCATTTTACAACATTTCGCAACGAAACTTCGGAATATTACTAATTTTGTGATGCTCTTTCAAGCTGTGATGAAATTTTTGTCTGGACTTGTTTAGATCAAAATTTTGTTCATTAGGGAAGAGCTAGGTCCATTAACCCAGAACGCGTCGTTTAATTGTGTTTTGCGGTTTTGCAAAATGCGCAAGAAGTATTTTGGCTGATCTCTGGTCATGGGCGTGCCCCTATTGCGCTACAGGGAAGCAGACACAAGGCTTGCCAAGTGAATATGTGTACCTGTGAAAAATAAAGCCGAAATGTAGCTACCGCTTAGAGCTCGCACCTAAGAGAATTGATCGCTCGATCAATGGTCTCGCGATCAATGGTCTCGCGTCTGCACGTCTTGTGCTGCTGTCAGGGAAAAATTAGTTGGATTTTCAAAACAATGAAAAGATATGGAACATTGAAAAGATATGAACTACTATATAAGTTTTACGAAAAAAGCCATTCGTCCACGAATGAACGAATTGATCATAGAATTTTATGTGTCCCATGTCCATCATACAAAGATATCGGTTTGCAGAAACAGTCGATCCTACAGAAATATGTCCTACTTTTGCCGCGGTTTTAAATCCAGGTGGCATCAAGCCGCATTAAAAATTGATTTGGCTCGCTTCCACCAAAATCTTACTGTGTGAAAAATCATCACTTGAGCGGCAAATTACGTTTTTGTGTGACATTGTCTAATTTAAGACAGAGTCATCTCGCTTATCAATGTATTTTGTTGTGTTTTGAAGGAGTGCGCAAAGTCTGGCATCATCGCGAGAATTCAGAGATTTATTATAAGCTAAAAGGTAGGATAAACTTTATTTAAACATATGCTAACCCCTTCAATGTGAATTGATTTCCAAGGGGCGTGCTCAAATTACACAGCTAAGCCTAAGGATGTAGATTTAAAATGCATAACTAAGTATGTTTGTTACAAATGAAAGCATGTCAGGCTAGTTTCACGTATAGAAGCGAATTGAAATTTGTGTAACTGCATGGCCTTAACCACTGCCGTGATTAGACGAGAAGAAGAGCTGCACGAGAAGCGAAAACTCTCAATGAAACCAGTTTAAATTTGAAGAGAATGCACGAGAGTCGATCAGAGTATGGCGGTCCAACGCGAACGAGAATTGCAGTTAAGCCGCTAACCTCTCGAAGCATTGAGGAAAGTATCTATCGTGTTTGAAATGTTGCTCCTCGCCGGAGGAAAAAATATCAACGTCTGCGAATGTTGCAGCTTATTGCTGAGCTGTTTTAATTAACTAGCCAATGAGAAATCCATAGTTTCTTCACGTGAGCTGAGAAACTATGGATTTCTTCAATGAGAAACCCACAGTTTCGTCGCTCAGCAAGCTTGACGCACTTATAAATGCCGAGCTTAATGCCGGTGCGCGCACGTTTCTGTCGATCATAAATATTAAATAGAGTGGTGTCTTTCAACTTTGACTCGAAAACTTATCAGTTATCGACTGGAAAGCTTGGAAATTGCACACCCGCGATGCAAACTTTCCACACCGGATTACTGTTATTTTTATGAGTTGAAATTGTGTATTTTAATTAAAGAGCTTTACACTCTCACAATATAAAACACTTCGATGTATCAAGCAAAGGTTTTTGTCAGGATTGATCAGACTGTCAGAACCGTTAGGGGGTAAGCGGCTACTGGCTACTGTAATCCTTTGCCGAAAAAGCAGAAGTGTTAAAACACGTTTTTATGTTGCTCGGATACAAACTAATGCCGTTAGCATTCTCACATATTTCGACCAAAGTATCTTTGATGAAGGAGACCGATAAAACTATTTTTGCCTGGTATATACTCGAGGCCAGAAAAGTCTGGTTTTTACCGAAGCAGCGAAAATATGTTAGCCGTAAACAAGACGAAAGCCAAAGAATCGTATCGAAGTATGACAATAAACTCGTGGATAGTTGCCAAAACACTTCATTACACGTCATTCCTCAGCTTTCTGTCGCACATCAAAGCACAGCATGGAATTAATATAGAAGTTGAATAGCAATTGAAGCTTTATTATGGGATAAATGTGGCGCGGTTAACTTGTGCCAAAGGTTTGTAAAATGTGACGTAATGATGCATGATTAGACATAAACCGAAATATAAGAGACTGCCCTTAATGTACTTCTCTTGGGGAGAACAGTTTAGAATTGCAAGACCTAGACCTAGCCAAGTTTAGTTTAGTTTAGTTTAGTTTAGATTTCCTCCTTTAGTAACACTAGAGGAACATAAGGTCTGGCTTTTCAAGGAGAACAATTCACGACTGACAGAACTGTTAAATGTAATCTAGTAATTGTAATTCCTCGAGTCCAAGTATGTGATAATGCAGTGAATTAATTGATAATTAAGCTTAGGGTGCAGTTATTTTCTCACGCCAGTAAATGAGTTTGTTTTCTGAAACTATTGTGTTGCTTAATAAATCTATATGTAATTCCTATAAACGTTAATCTGTTTGATTTATTATTTATCTGATCGGCTTTGGGAGCAAATGGTCTCAGCATCAGTATCTTATCTGCGAGTTTTTAATAAACATTCCGCCCTTTTAAAGACAAATCTAAGTAATGCAAAGTGGGTGCTAAAACATCAACCACTTCAAAATCTTGTCGCCACATTTTTTTCTCAAATAGTTTCTATATTGCAACAATCATCAATTAACTTTGTACAAATTTTATTGGTATGAATGGTACTTGAGCCCTGGCAAAACTTGCATGAGAGTTGATGAGAGTTAAGAAGCGAGAGTTTACATGAGAGTTTTCTCAACTCTCATGTCCCGGTCAAACGAGAACAAAAGTTGCATGAGAGTCGGTTACAAACCCTACTGATTATTAACTGCGATTACAAACCCTAACATTCTAATATTAATTCCACCAAGTGAAGTGCTTGCAACTTGCAAGTAACCAAATCATCGAAGTCATAGTTAAAAGACCTCTATTATGACTAGACCAATTTCCAGGAATAATCTTAGCGTCGATCAAAATTCTCTTAGATTAAATTTTCGATGCCTACTGTCAGTACTGATAATGATATAAGATGCGTAAAAATCTAACACACAACTATTGCATTTTGGAGGACACTGTGTGATAGTTTTTAAAATTATAAAACATTTGAAACACGCTTTGTTCACCGCCGACATAATGCCGATTAAATCCTAAAAGTGTCAGATAGACGTCAATGAATTTCTATCCAATTTTCTAAATCCCAGAGTCTCAGTCGAAAGGTGTTGAGACCAAAATACCGTCGGGATTTACCCAAGGTGGCCATCTGGGAACGAGGGAAGACACCACTACTGCAGGGAAGCCTCGCAGTGCCTCGGAAGGTTTTCTCCAATTGGATGGGGGTTTTCTAAAGAACGAAGCAATTCATTGTTATAAACACAAAAGCAATTGTCAAATCGAGCCAATGAAAATCACTCTTCCGAGCTACTGTGAGGCTACCCCTACTGCATGGAATGCACAGCCTTATGGCTATCAAGACCATCAACACTTTAGAATTACTTGATGCCTTTTTTTATTAACTGTAGTCTAACACTTGGAATTTATGCCTATGGGTGTTAATGTAAATCACTGATTTGAAATATATGGGTCTGGCTAGAATATACCTTTGAATTCAATGAGCCAATTTTGAAGCTAGAATATTTATAATTATAGATGAGATTTTAAAATCGGATCACGACGTGTTTAAATATTGTAAGATATAGCTTCCCACATCTCTTCTAATGAGTTTTAGAACATCAGTAAAATTCATGAATAATTAATAAGGCCATAAACAAATCACGATGCGGTATTTAGGTCACATGTGCACACTTGTAAACCGCATTAAATATCAGAAAGTTGTGTTAGAGGGATGTTTATGAAAGTTAACAATACTAATTGAGAAGCATGGATGTTTATGAAAGTTAACAATAC